ACAAGCTCCTCGAGCATGGCATTCTAAGTTCACTGGTGTTTTACCTAGTCTTGGTTTCATCGTTTCTCAATCTGATGCTAGTTTGTCTGTCAAGTATGATGGTACACATGTTATGATTCTATTGCTATATGTTGATGATATAATCATCACTGGCTCAGATGCATCTCAGGTTCAAACTGTCATCACTACTCTTGGCGAATTGCTTGAATTAAAGGATATGGGCAAATTGACTTATTTTTTGGGCTTTCATATTCAATATGAGGAGAATGGTGATATGTTACCTGCACCAACTCCAGCCAAACCACATTCTCAGTTTGTGAAATCATGTTCCTGGATTTCACTGTTATAATCTACGTATGTATTATTGAGATTTTACATCATTTTTTGAGAAATTATATTAATTTATTTGGATTTAGATTTTAATTAAACTAGTTACGAAGTTCAAAGTTTGAAAATTAATTATCTAAAATTCATTGACCTTTCGAGGTCACAAGTAACATTTTCGAATAGATCTTGAAACTACGAGTGCATAGGCAAAAACCGTTTGCGAGTCCAGATTATAAAGGTATAGATACGGACATTTGAAGTTGTGTTACTAAACTATAGATTTTAAATTTATTTTGAACTCCCACCTTGTGGGAAAGAGGCCAATCAAATTTATGTTAGTTAAGGGAACCAATCAGAAGGGGGAACAAGGAGGGAAAGGAGAGAGGTGAGGAAACACCCAACCAACCTTGACTCGATTTCAAATCCCGACCCGATTCCTTGACTCGATTGTATCTCTTTCGTCCGACGTCCGATTGAGGTGATCTTGGTGTCTATGGAAAGCTCTCGGCGAACCCAACATCTTTGTGGTATTATAGTTCACAATTTCTAACCCAATTTTATAAACCAAAGCCACAAAGTCCATGATTTTCCGGTGGTTTTCTCATTTTTCCGTTGAATCCGATAATGATTACTGTCGACCACCACCACCAAAAGACTTCTCTCAACCTCAAGAACAAAACGTATACATTGGTTGGGGCATTGGAATTCGTTTTGGCATCGAATCAAGAACACCCAATTCTAGGGTTTCAGCAGTTCGTGGGCGATTTGAGGTGTTTGCCGGCCAAAATGACCTTAGTCACAGGTATGAAACTTTCTCTAATCATTGAGATCTACATTACTGTGAAATTTGGTAATTTTCAGAGTTAGACGGAAAATCAGGTTTCCGTTCGCCGGAACAGCCACCTGTGACGGCGTCTGGCCAGTGGGTCACCAATGATATCTTAAGCTAAATTGATGTCCTCATATTATACTTGATCATTGTATGATTCGACGATCCGACTGTTGGATCGTCACCAAACTCTAACATATTACAAAACGTAATATTTGAGGATATTAGAAATAGACGGATCTGGAATCCGACGTACGGATCTTTCCTAATTGGATTTCTAAGTTTGTAAAATAAGTGGTTGACCGCCACCTAATTCTAGTAATTGGCGGAGATCCGATTGTTGGATCATAATGACATTTTTATATGTTGTTTTAGAAGGATAATGTGGGTCTTTGGAAGTTACGGATCTGAAATCCAATGTGCGGATCTTATGAATCGAATTACGTAGGGTTGTGGGCACCACCGTTGATCGAGAGTTGACTTTTGGTCAACATGTCTCAAATCGCTTATAAAATTAAAATTAGGATTAATAAAGGCTCAATGAGGCTTTGCAGACCTTTCTAGGTGAGTGATTTTAATATATGCAATATGGTGATTACCCGATTCTTTATATTAATATCCTTTGTGGATATGACTTGGTTTTATAAATGTGTTTTCTGTTAAAATGTGACTTGGTTTCATAAATGTGTTTTGTTAAAATGTGACTTGGTTTTATAAATGTGTTTTCTGTTAAAATGTGATTCTTTTATAATTGGCCATCGATCTATTTTTATTAAATGTGAATTGATTCATGGATTGATAATATTTGTGAAAAAAATATTTTAATTGCATATTGAAATGTTTGTTAAATTAAGGGCTAGTAGGAGACCATGACCCTGCTTGGTTAATCCACGATAGGGGGTCACTAGTGGTCCTGCTTGGTTAATCCACGGTAGGGGACCATATTATTTATGGATCTTGCTTGGTTAATCTGCGATAGGCGATCCTTATGGTCATACATACTCAGGAGTGATCATGCTTGGTTAATCCGTGATAGGTGATCACTGCCTAACAGTTCCGTAGGTGTGACTCTGCTTGGTTAATCCGCGATAGGGGGTCATTACCTACTTAGTTATCTTGGTCCTGCTTGGTTAATCCGCAATAGAGGACCTGCTTGGTTAATCCAAGATAGGGGACCATATTTTCTATGGATCGTGTTTGGTTAATCCGCAATAGGTGATCCTTATATATTTGGTATGGCCATACACATACACACTTGGGGGTGATCATGCTTGGTTAATCCGCGATAGGTGATCATTGCCTAATAGATGCGTATGAGTGACTCTGCTTGGTTAATCTGTGATAGGGGGTCACTGCCTACTTGGTTACTGCAGGGGTGGTTTGCTTGGTTAATCCGCGATAGGGGGCCACTTCCTGTTTGGTTACATATGTAGGTTTCGCCCGAACTGCGTCCCTCTAACCCTAGTTTTTAATGCATATATGAACGATAGTTTTTTGAGAATCTTGGTGGTTTGAATGGGAAAAATCGATGGATGTCTGGGTAACTCCTTCGAAGTTGTTACAGACTGGACTATGTTTCATAATTACAAACTTATCTTTGAGGTTTATAAACTGTGATCGATGGTCTTTCTTTTTATTGAATATCACATACTTGTATTATTGTCACTCACCTGAGCTTCGCAGTTTATCCGAGTTCTAGTTGGTCAGTGCACCATTCCCATGATGTAGGCATTGATTATATATGTGATAGATTTGGGTAGATTACGAGAAACCGCTAGATATTTTGGATTCCGTTGAGTGGTTCGGAATCCTTGCTCTTGTTCATTTCCATAAGGTTAGTCTAGAACCCTAGATTCGAGTGAATGGGAATTACCCTCAAAAGATCTTGTGAATATTAATTAGATTCACCATGTTTAATTACTTATAATTCAAATAGGGAATTATGTAGAGTTCCTTAATTAAATACATGAAATGATATGTATTCACATTGATTGATTAACGTTAAATGCTAAGATTATGCATCTTTGAGTCATGAATTGATTAATTGACGGGATTGTGGAATGACGTTGGATATGATTGTTATTATTATGATTATTTAGTTGATCATTGTGGCTTGAGAATAATATTGTGCTTCGTTGGTTATTGATATGTTACATGATGTTGATGGAGGTATCATGTTGAAAATAAAGTGAATTATGGGATGATTACTCGAGTGTAGTGAATGGTGAACTACGAATGGCTTGATCCCTATTTAGGGTACGTAGGCATTCTAACGAGGATGTTAGATACAGCCATAAAGTATATGAAAAATTACCATGCGATTCAATTCTTGAGTCATGCTTCTTACATATCCCATAGGCGGGATCTGTTGGATATATGGTTACTTGGTGACATCACGTGTCAATCTTGGACGTAGGTCGGGATCGAGGCGTGACACAGTTACTTGTTACAGAAGGAATAAGTCCACTTCCATATGCAACTTTATACAGAAGCTTAGTGGGGGCTTTCAATGCCTCACTTTTACTAGGCCGTATCTTTCACATTCAGTTGGTGTAGTAAGTCAATACATGAGTCAGCCTACTGATGCACATTTCTTTTTTGTCAAGAGAATTTTGCGATACATCAAAAGGACCTTACATTGTGGTTTCACTTACAAATCAGGTTCTTCTTCTCTTTTGTCAGCTTATTTAGACTCTGATTGGGATGCTGACATTAACACTAGAAGATCCATCACTGGTTATGTTGTATTTTTAGGCCAAAATTCAAATTCATGGCAATCCAAAAAGCAGTCATATATGTCTCGTAGTTCTACTGAGACAAAGTATAAATTCCTTGCTCACTATGTTGCTGATATATGTTGGCTTCGATCACTTTTTAGAGATTTACATGTTTATCTTCCTTCTTCTCCAATATTGCATTGTAATAATCTCTCTACGCTTGCACTTATAGTACAAATCCAGTGTTCCATTCTTGGATTAAACATCTTGATACAAATTTTCATTTTGTTAGAAAGAAGGTTCAAAAAGGAGATCTCAGGGTGCAATACATTCCTACTAAGGAGCAAGTAGCTGATATCTTCACCAAGGGTCTTCACAATCCTGTGTTTGTTCAACATTGCTGCAATCTTTATCTTGATACCTCGGTTAAGATTGAGAGGGAGTAATAACTGTAATAACAAACTAGGACATGTGTCAACTGTGTATTAGTCCACTTGTATTGATTGTATTGGTTGTGGTAGCCTACTTGATAAGCTAAATAATAGCAAACTATATATATGCTTGTATGTAATAACTAAGTCGGTTAATAAGAATTTCAAACTTTCTTCTCACTGTCTTTCTCTCTAGCTTTCACTGCTGTTCTTCGAATTACCTAATGTTCATTCAATTTTTCTGCAAGAATCTCACAGTTAACAATACATAGCCTCCTCAAAATGTGTGGGAGGTAGGGCCAGCGCCACACCCAGCCTATACCTACTACACATATAATATTTGATAGTAAAATGCACAGAGTTTCCGCCACTAGTACAAAAAAGACTTTGCGCGACGTATGACCGTCGTCGCGCAAAGTCAAAAATACGTCGCCCAAAAATTAGCGAAACGAACCTTCGTCGCACAAGAACCGTCGCGCGAAGGCAGTGAAGGAAGGGTTTGCGCGACGCAGGACCTCCCTACGTCGCGCAAAGCTACTTTGCGCGACGTAGATCCTGCGCTTTGCGCAACGTAGGGAGGTCCTGCGTCACGCAAAGTTTTTTTTTTTTTTTGTCATTTATATTTTTTTATTTAATTTTAATAAATATTATAATTAAATTATTGAATATTATAATTAAATGCTAAACAATAATTAATAAACCAAGAAAAAGTAATTAATTATAGAATATATGAAAATGTACGTTTGTCCGAACAAAAAAATAAAAAACTACAAGTCTTCTAAGTTTAATACATCATGCTACTCGGTATCGTCTGGGCGAAATGGCTGGGAAGTCGAAGGTGGAGCAACATTAGGTGCTGGCATCGTCGGGATTTGGAGGTCGGACATCGCTAAGGCCTGAAGAATCATATTCATCCTCTCGCCCTGGGCCGCAACCTGACCTCTTAGGGTTGTCACTTCCTCCTTCAAGGAATTGACCTCTCCTGTGGACAATCTGGAAGAAGAGGCACCCGTTTTACGAACCCCCGCCTTCCCCGTACACCGAACAACCTTACCATGACGACGACCGAACTTCTGATCCAGGACCTCAGTCACGATCTGAACATCTGCATCCTTGGGTACAATGATGTCCTCAATCGGGGTCTCCGGGGGAAGCTGCGATGTTGCTTCTTGGAGAATAGCAGTGCTCTTTTCCACCATATCACCCTGTAATAATAAAGCAAAAACATATAATGTTTAATAACAAAATATAAATAATATTTGAACGATTCATAAAAATAAGAAAAATAACAATTACATATACTTACATAAAGCTGGTCACTTTTCTCATTGTTGGGATGAACGTAAACATGCTTGAACAGGTCAATCTGTGGGAACTTAGAACCCTCCTAAAGAAAAAAAAACATTAAGAAAAATTTATTAATCAATAATAAAAAATAAATTGTATAAAATTTCAAAATTAATATACTTTTACCTCACGTCGTGCCTCAACCCTATACGAAAAGGGCTTCGAACCGGAATGGTGGAGAAGTGTCTTTGAGTCCCGAGCTTTCTTGCCAGTAGCAGATTTCTTCTGTTAAACATACAATATATATGTTAGTGCGACTATTTGAAAGAAATTATTAAAAAAAGCTTAAATAAAATAACAAAAACAATAAATTATTATTAAAGTATTATGTACATACCAAAAATTTTGGATCCGTAAAATGTGTGCAGAGCCACTCCCAATCCTCTCGCCGTTCCTTATACTCGAGTGGGCAACCCTGTAGGCGAGCAATCTCCGGAGATTCCCATAGCTGAAAATGCTTGTGAAGAGCGCTCTTCCAATCTTTGTACCGGCTTGCTAAGGTCTCCTCTAAGTAGGCACTGACCTCAGGGGATATGTCCTCCATTTCAAAAACGACCTACAAATATGAAAAACAAAATGACAAACAAAATGATCATGTATCAGAATAATTGACAACTAGTTTATAAGATATTGATAAAGTTTGTCGGTTTACAATAATAACTAGAATCTTAATTTGTTAGGAAGCAAACATAATGTTTATATTCTGAAAGATCTCAAGAGTGGGGTTCTGATCTCCCATGCGAGCCTCTTTCCACCAGTACAGAGACCAAAGGTGGAAATTCAACATTTTATAGAGAGGTTGTAACTGCACTGACTGTAACTCAAGATCAACTATTCCAGTAGCATGTTAAATGATTTGTTAGGATGTAAACCAACTACTATTATATATACTTTACCTAAAAAGAAAAAAAAAGTCATGCATGTACAATTTAATGCAATTCCATAAAGGTAACCTATTGCATACAAGCATTTCATATCCCACTTTAACAGTCAGTTAATCACGTTGGCTTCCAAATAACTGTTACCAAGGACATGCTCTAATTTTTACAACCAAAAACCAATTTACCCCTTAAGATGTGAGCTTCGTTAAAGTAATTTACAACATCATGCCTGTTTAAACTGGTTGTGCTTACAATCCAGAAGTACTAAAACTGACAGAATGAAAATTATGCTGCAGCAACTACAGAAATCAAATTGTGTAACATGTTTATGACACTCTTGTCCAACTGCAACCCACTAAAAATAGCATGTAGTAAGCATGTCATTTCTAAATGACCCAACAAATATTAGCAGATTCGAAGAAAAACTTCATAAGAAGGTAAGTAAATGTGTAGAAAGTGGTTACAGTAATATACAGGAAGCTTACAAAATTATAAACAATTTTTATATACAGGATCATTCATACTAGTTCGGAAAGCAGTGTCAAACCTCAGCTTCACGCAAGTGTCAAACCTTTAATGTTCAAACCATAAGGTTAACACTCAAATTATTTATCAAATTCCTTTCCTTAGCACAATTTCTCAACAAAGGATTTAACTCGACTATTTAAGGCTGCTTTCGTAGTTCACTTTAATAAATAAAACCAGAACAACTAAAAACAATTCACTATCAAATTGAGGCAAAGTCAAGAACCATACATAGGACTCGCTCGGTAAAAGATCGATTATTTGATTAGCGAAACGAACCCAAGAAGCACTTACTGATTAAAACAAAACAGCATGTATAGGCATAATGTTTAGGTATCACGATGCTGCTCAACCAGTGGATACTATGGATCAGGTTAACTGATGCACAACACAAGCAAAGCAATGTACTAGCGACGGCATGCATACTCACCTAAACACTATCATAAATCATTAAGCAAGGACGTAGACCAAAACTAAAAACCTATAAATATGCATCAGATAAGATAGTAATCCTTCCACCTAACCAACATAATCATTATTTTAACAATGGTTCACGGAATTATTTTTCAATTTCCTTCCCAGGAAGCATTCAGACAACAAAGAACAATGTCGCAAATCACTGAAATTAACCAAAACTAAAGGATCACACCTGCTCCCAATTATGAACAGAAGAAGAGTGTGCAAAATACATGACCAAATTATTCACCACAACAACACTCGGCTATCAGGTGAAAAATAATGAAATGCACCTGATTCCTCTTTCCCCCCTACATTTTCTTAGCAACCAAACAGAAATTGAGAGAAAGATCTTGACTTTACTAATCAAGATGATGGCCCTGCACTAGTTTAAGCAGAGATGTTGACTTTGCTAAAAATTAATATACTAACCTCCAAATTGTCTCGCACCAGGGTCCTCGTCTCCTCGGGAATTTTTGCCCAACTCTCCCACCGCATAGGACAAAAATTCCTAATAATAAAACCACAGCAATTAACGACGCTGTTATGCTGCTGTGAGGTAACCGCTCCACGATGTCGCTCATCATACGCAATCTTGATCAAGGAGGCAGACATACGTACAAGTTGTAGCTCCTTCAACATTCGATTGGGCCCCCTGGTGTTTTTTTTAGCTGCCCAAAAAAACTTAAATGGTAAAAACCCTAAGCTTAAATTTGTACAGAAAATTCGGCAAAACCTCCCCTAATCATAAAAGTACCTTAAAACAATAATTCACAACCCGCAACACATTTTCACAATCATAAAAGTAATAGTTTTGAAATGAAAAAAAAAATGCAACGTAGTGAGAATTAGAAAAAAACTACCTGGTTGGGAGGCCCCATCCTCGACTCTGGAGGACGAGGAAGTGTGATCAGAAGGCTCCGGCTCGCGGCGGCGCCGGTGAGGCCGCCGTGCACTGAGGGGCTCAACTGACACTGATGACGTTGATGATACGGGCACCTGGGACGTCGTAGGAGTAGCCTCCGTAAGGGGTGTAGGCTCCCCAATCAATGGAGCACTCACGCCTAGAGCACTAGATGCTGATAATGCAGGAGCTGCATTGGACACACTCCGACGACGAGTGATCAACTGCGACATCTATACACTTTATGAACCATAAAAATATAACATTAGAAACTAATCCTTTCTTGCATTTGAAACTAATAAAATAGCAACCAAAGTAATATAAGTAATTAGAGCAATAATATCAATACAAGAATATTTAAACTAATCCTTTCTTGCATCTGAACAAACCCTAAAAGAGAATCATTATAGAAGGATCAAATTAGTTAAACCGTGGCAGTATGTGTATTTTGTGAGCAAAAATGATAGATTTTTTCACTGATTTGTTCCACCTCATGAAAGGTTTAGAATAAACTTTACATGGGATATGTGGGTTATTCTAATTAGAACACGAGCAGGGCAGCCAATCTTCTCGAAACTGATAAAAAAGAGCAAAACATTCAACATCTATATATAACTATAACATAAAATTATTCTAATGAGAACACGAGCAGGGCAGCCAATCTTCTCGAAACTGAATGTTTTGAGAAGCAAAAGTTTGCTACTAATTGAGATAATTAGATACCTTCTTCAGTTGTTGAGTTGGTGCTCCCACACCAGATAGCCTCTCTAATCCTTGAAGGTGCAAAGGTCGGCCCTTGAAGAAACGAGGAGTTATGTCCAAGAGGAACTCCAAGAAGAGATGTGGATGCCACAGCTCCTCCTAAAGCACGCACAAGCTCTCCCTGCACAAAACCAAATAAAACCCAATTCACTAAAACCAATTCCAAAGTCCAAGAATGTACCTACACAATCCCATAAACTAAAAAAACCCAATTCCTTTTTATTACTAAATTCATACGAAAAGGTACTTAAAGGTCACCACCCATGCAAATGCAATGAGAGAAGAGATGCATGGAGGAGATAAATTCAGAACAGAGAAAAAACAACTTATGAGCAAGTGTATGTACTAAACAAGAAAGCAAAAAAAGATGCATAATCCTTCAGTAAATAATGGAGGTTCAAAGAACAAAATAGAATACCTCAGTTCAAATAAATAAACTTTAACAGCTTAATACCAATACAATACAGAAGCAGCACTCTAAAGCAAAAATTGGCAAAAGTTGGGTTGTTGAAAACAATAACAAGAGTTAGGATTACCTTTTCAGATTGAATACATATGAGTGAGATACTTCAAGCCAAGACAGAGACAACATCACATTACCAGCGAACCGAAAGCCAATAGATTAGGAGACTGCTGCAATCTGGAAACACAAGAATGAATTAAAACTACTATTTTGCACCTTTTACCACCTCTAACCTTCCATCCATTAAATCATGTTTTAAGAAATGTAGACGGGTATTTAAATTTTAGCGACCTTTCAGGATTTAGGACAAACAATTGTATAGTCTTCTTTAAGCAAAGTAGGCAAAAATTAGGGTCATTGAAAACGGAATAGGAAAAAAAAAAGAAAAAGTTACTCCTAGCTTGCCAAAGAAAGTTAGGATCAAGACCAACCAAAAGCCAGGCGTCCATATGATATGATCCTGCAAAGCCAAAAAAAAGGTCAGTAATTGAGAACACCGGGAAAACTATTCTGGTAGAAGGACGCTGCAACAAATTGGAAGATTTAGGATCCAAGCAATGACATGGAAGAGGCATAATGAACCAACTGCTCCACTTTGAATACTAAAATTCAATAGTTAGGCAAGACCATAATAGTGCCTGCAATAATAAGACTAACAAAAACTACACAAACTTCGGATACAAAATTTTGAATCCTTTATGCAAATCCATGGATTAATTGGAGAAAATAAAGGAATTAAAAGTTAAAAGTTAAAACTACTAGAGTGCAGAACAATACGATAGCTACCCTTTCAGCAAAGAAAGCAGATTCGCTTCTATAATCCAACTCTTCTAACTAAACCACCTTTTCATCTAATCTCAATGATTCTATTTTGAGAAACAAGTAACATTATTGCATTCAGAAGTCCAAAACTTTGCTACTAAAAATGACATAACTAAACACCACAATCGATCATTTTTATCATTTCAACCACCAAATATGTAAAATTTTCAACTACTTATACATATGAATTAATATTCCTTTTTTCATCAAATCTCAGTGATTAATTTCAAAATGAGGGTCGGGGCTCCAACTATAACAGTATTCTGAAATCAAAGAGAGAGGATGAGAAATTTTTACCTCTGGGTGTGTCGACTTCAAGATCGGAGGTTTGGCCTTTGGATCCGCTCGTGTGCAGCCTGATTCTCGCGAGATTTTGGCTCACTTTTCTGAGACGGTGGTGCAGGCGACGGTGTTGGGGCTCTCATCTCGACGAATCTGGAGGCGGAGGATGGAGCTGTAAGGATTTGCGGTTGGCGAAACTGAGAATGGCGTGAGAGAGAATCGGCGGGGGATTTGAGGGAAATTATAGAGTGAGAAAAGGGGTCTGGGAAGAGGAGGAAGGCTACGGAAGAGAGAGACCGAGTGAGAGAGAGAGAGAGAGAAGGGGTCTGGGAAGAGGAGGGCGTGGGAATATTTAGTCCAAAATTATCAAAACTGGCGCTTATTTTTAATACTTGCGCCAAAATTATCAAAACTTGCGCGACGAAGGTATACAATTCACGTCGCGAAAGGTATTTTTAATTTAAAAAAATAATTATAAAAATTACTGAAAATGTGGCTTTACTCATTTTAAATTTTTTTTTTTTTTACATAAAACTCACAATAATATATTTTTTTTAATAAAAACCTGACTAATAAATTGGTAGCTACTTAATAAATATACATATCATTTAATTTCTTAAGTGTTATACGTAAAAAAAATTTAAATTTAAATTTACTTAATAAATATATATACCATTTAACTTGATGCGATACACATTGTACGAAACTAATTTCAACGATCCAGCCGTCAAACTTGTTTGTATATGCTTCGAGATCACATATACAAAAAATCGAAAAAAAAAAAAGGTTCAGAGATCAAGTAATGGGACAAAACTTTTCGACGGTTATAAACGAAAAATCACGATTTAACGGTAGTTTAAATTCCGATTTTGATGATTTTTTACAGTTACACCCCTTGATCCTACATGAATACAACGAATTGATTCGATCGTCAATTTAAAATATTTTACACAAGTGAATATCACAAAATCTTATGTTATACTTGATGAAAGTATAAATAAAATCGAAGTGTTAGGGAATCTAACGTTTTATTGAGATACACATTGTACGAAACTAGTTTCAACGATCCAACCGTCAAACTTGTTTGTATATGCATCGAGATCGCATACGCAAAAAATCGCAAAAAACAAACCTTCAGAGATCATGTAACGGGACAAAACTTTTCGACGGTTATAAACGAAAAAATCACAATTTAACGGTTATTTTAACTCCGATATTGATGATTTTTTATAGCTACACTCCTGGATCCTATATGAATACAAGGAACTAATTCGATTGTCAATTTAAAATATTTACACAAGTGGATACCACAAAATCTTATGTTATACTTGATGAAAGTATAAATAAAATCGAAGTGTTAGGGAATCTAACGTTTTATTGAGATACGCATTGTACGAAACTAGTTTCACCGATCCAACCGTCAAACTTGTTTGTATATGCATCGAGATCGCATACGAAAAAAAAGATCAAATGAAAAGAAAAAAAAGTTGGTGACTTTGCGCGACGCATGCCCACCTACGTCGCGCAAAACAACTTTGCGCGACGTAGGTGGGCATGCGTCGCGCAAAGGTGGGAAAAAGCGGTAAATTCTTAGGGTTTGGCGCCAAAAGGTTGCACGACGAAGGACTACGTCGCGCAAAACGGCTTTGCGCGACGTACGTAAACCTACGTCGCGCAAAGGTGGGAAAAAGCGGTAAATTCTTAGGGTTTGGCGCCAAAAGTTTGCGCGACGTAGTCCTTCGTCGCGCAAACTAACGTCGCGCAAAGGGTTTTGAGCGACGTACGTACACCTACGTCGCGCAAAGCCGTTTTGCGCGACGTAATTTTATGCGTCGCGTAAGTTTTCGTCGCGCAAACATGTTTTTGTACTAGTGCGCGCAAAACATACGTAGAAAAACAAGATCTTGGTTTCCACTTTCCACCGAGCCAACTTCTTAGTCTTCTTTCACATAGTCGTCAAGAAGAAGAAAAAATTAAGTGAAAAAAATGTGGAATGATAATCACGTTGAACAAGCAGATTTTATTTATTCTCTCTTAAATAATAAAATTGTTGGAAGTTTAGAAGATTAACTTTCCCCAACTGCTATATAAGACTTTCATCAAAGATCTTTTACGTGTGTGAATTTTTAGAGTTCTTCTAGTATGTTTATTGTCTGGATATATATAATTTTAGTTTCTCACCAATCATCGACCACGTAAAGTAGATATATATAAATGGGAAGGCGACAACAGGGATTGGATATATTAATACTTTTGCGTTTGATACCAATACTTTCGTTGAACAACGACAAACGAACTCGTTGATTCCATGCAGGAATTTCTTTATTAACCTAACTCTAGCTGACCAAATCAAAATAGTTCTCTCTCATAATTTTTTAATGTCCCTGCATTGTCAAAGGTGGTGACCCTGACGGTTTGGTGTTATGAGTTAATTTAGAGACAGTTGTTTAGGTTAGTTCCGTTAGGAGCTTAATTAAGACACTAATAACAAATTTGAAAATGACATGAGGATTAAAATAAGGCTGACGGTATCTGTGATGTGACCATTTATGTCTGCCACCACAGAATACAACCCCTTGCCCAGAAATTTTGTTTTATTTGTGGGATTTTTTAGTCGGTCAAAAATGGTAATGTACGTGTAGTGGTTTAGGGTTTCATGGAATGGTCAGCTGCAATGGGTGGGATTCGAAGCAACAGCGGCGAAATTATCATAAAATCTTGTCAACTTATTGAAAAGTCTTCGAGCTGTTCTTCCTCTCCAAGAAACAAATATCAATTCATTGTTATATCAGCATATCTGTAAAATAATTAAATATTTCCACATGCATGCATGCATTACTTTCTCTGTTAGTGCTCCAAATATATATCCCATCATTATATTGATGTGTAAAAAACAAAACTCATCACGTACATGTAATTAACTAAACAATATAGTATATCCCACCTCCCACGTTATATAAAAAGAAAAAAAATGACTAAATAATTATCTAAACTATATAATAATAAAATTTTATTTATCAACCAAAATAGGATGAAAAAACTATTTAGTTTTCTATCACAACAAAAAAAAATTAAGGGCAACAAGATAATTTCATAAAACAAAATTTTAGTTTTTTTATTTAAACATCATTTACAGATGACTATAATATCTCTACTTTTTTTTTTAAAGGAAAATTTGAAATAGGTCCATTTTTATAGCTCAACTTTTGAAATAGGTCCAATTTTTAGTGATTTTGAACCCATATCAAAAGATCCCTTTTAAAAAACTAAAAAAAAATTAAACTTCTCTCCCTCTCTCTCCACTCTCACACGTTCTCTCTCTATCTAAGATCTCCTCAATTTTAAAAACAAAAATAAAACCCTTCACACGCTTAAGCGTACTGTCACTCAAAAACAAATAAGAAGACCAAATCCCAATATGTGTTGGTGGCCTAATAGATTCAGTAAACCATGCATGGGTCGCTTACAACAAAAATGCAATGGTGTGAATGCATTTTTTTTTTCCAATAAGGTGTGAATGCATAAATAAAAGTACACTATCATGTTTCATTTTCTTTGCCGGCCATTTAATAGTTTGCAATTTGCAAAGAAGTGCGAAAAAAATTACTTTTAATCAAAATATAGGATAGGCAGATTTGACTATTTATTTAAAATTGCTTGCATCAAATGTTTGAAAAAAAAATCATATAAAGTATGAACCGATCATTTTTGTTTATTGGACACGCAGTTTTTAATTTTCTTAAAGTTTAGGGTTTAGTTCGTTTAATTTGTGGATTTTGATATATTTTGGTGACAAGAAAATTGCACATGCACTTGAAATTTTATCTTATTTTTAATTATTCCTCTTGTATTCTACATAATATATCATTTTGCTCTCTACATTCCATTATGGGTTAATGACAATCTTGAAAAAAAATAGCTATTTCATGCCAAAATGATCTTTGGGGTTTCAGATATTCCAATTGTGAGAATAAGCTGAACTAATTAACAAATTGAATCCCTAGCCACATCAGCCAAACTAATCTATCATTCGATCCATTTGATAGAATGAGATAAAGTAGAATGCAAAGAATGAGTATTGAAGATAAAGAGCGAAAAAATAGTGTAAGAATAAGAAATAATCTTTGTATAGAGTACTCGGGACGTAGCTAAATGTAATCCTTTTAATTTCTTAAGTGCTCAGAATTCCTCCTCAATTAAATAAATAAAATAGAAAATTTACACAAATGGCACACGACCTTTTCCACTCTAATGTCAACGTTCTTCCCAGCTCGTTTTTTACCGAGCAGTATTCAAACCAAACGTGTTCTTCGAGTACACCAGGGGTGTTCCATTTTCTTTTAGTTCGCCAGCCTGTAAGTGTGGTTTGGCCACGGTCAAAATGATGTTATTCAACATGGTTTGTTTGCTTGAGAACCAAGTTTCTGACTTGTGTTCCTATCTTTATGCTAGCATTCTCTGACGAGTCACTAATTTAATCAAAATGTTAACTGGATATATAATACCAAAGTCATCTTATAGTGTATGTCTGTATATGTTCAACATTTCAAAGTCCTTAAAAAAAATGCAAATTTACACGCAATTGTGGAAATAATGCGTTAGCAACTTGTTTTCCAGTGCCTATATATAAACATAACAAATATCGACCTCTGAGATATCACAAGAGTAATACAATATCTTCATAAAATATACGATTCTCAAACCTCTCATTTCCCCTTTAAGCCAACTCTTTTGTTCCCCATATGGCACGCTTAGCCTTTGTGCTAGCTTGTGCTCTAGCTCTATTGGCTTCCTCAATAGCCTCTGGTGCAATTGTTGAGCATTCTTTTAACGTAAGTCTTGCCTCAATTTTGGGTATGCTCATGCATGTTTCTAAGATGACTAAAAGCGCATTCTGACATCCAAAATTACTTCAATTTGACGGAAAAATTAAGTAAATATTTTTGGGTCATAGAAGCGGTTTAAGAAACAAATTCAAACGGGCCCTTTGGGATCTTTATTTCATCATGCATATTTCCTCACCAATTATTTGAATGTTTCCTTTAATAATAGTAGTCATGTTTTTTTTTTCCTATTGTTTTCAGGTGAACAACCTAACTGTTAGCCGATTGTGCCGGAATCAATCAATTACTGTAGTAAATGGGAGTTATCCAGGACCAACCATATATGCACGAGATGGGGATACACTTATTGTTCACGTTTTAAACCAGTCGCCCTATAACATTAGCATTCACTGGTAAGTACCAATTATCCAAAATCATTTAACAACCCCCAATGGGAATGTTGAGTTATGTTTTGTTCACGTTGTATAGTTACTTTCTTAATGCAGGCATGGAATCTTTCAGCT